ATAGATAGATAGATAGATAGATAGATAGATAGATAGATAGATAGATAAAGCTTGTGAGTTCTCCGGTAATGCAGGAAGCTAAAACTCCAACATCGATGAGACGGCAGGGCTGTGCTCCTTCGGGAAGTTCCAAAGGAAGGTTGTGGTGGCTTCCAGCAAGGCTTGGACTCTGTGTGGGTAGCAGAGTCCCTGTCCCTGTACTCAGACTGCCTCATCAGCTAGGACTCCCTAAGCCTCTATGCCGAAACAGCCCTTGCTCTTCTCTTTATAAAATGCTGGTTTGGAGCTGGGAAGAGAGCTCAGACAGCATGCCCTGAAAACTGAGTGAGCTTGGTACCCGGAAGGCTTGTAAAAAGCCAGTTGTGGTGGCACACACCTGTAATAACAGATTTGGAGAGGCAGATGGAGGTGGATTCCTGAGGCTTGCTGGCCAGCCAACTTAACCTGGTCAGACATCTGCACATGCCAGGGAGAGACTATCTCTGTAAACAAGGTGGACGGAGCCTGAGAAATGGCACCAGAGACTGACCTCTGTTCTCCACACACTTACACGAATGTTTGTGCATACACCCTTAGTACACACACACACACACACACACACACACACACACACACACACACACAGAGAGAGAGAGAGAGAGAGAGAGAGAGAGAGAGAAAGACAGAAACAGAGACAGAGACAGAACAAATCATTGATTTACTTTAACCTCTCTATTTTGGTATAATTTCACTTTGGCATTGATTTTGCAAGATTAAACTTTGAAATGAGGTCATATTCTGAGTTTTGCAATAGACATGAATTTGAAGAACACTCTTCAATTCAGTGCAACAGGTTGAAAACAGAAGGCAAAAAAGAAAACCTGATCATCTTAACAACATCGCTTTATTTTAGGAAGGGCTGTACAATTCCTTCTCCGAAGAGCTCCTCTTATAATTTTAACTTCCCCTGGCTGGGAAGTGCCCAGTAACCTCCTTGAACCTAAACATATCTTAGAAAAACCACAATGAAAATGGCTTACGCTGCTGCCAAGGTGCAACTGATGGCTCCTCACTCATCACTAATTATCTTCTTAAAAAACTAAACTGGGTGGGACATGCTTTTAAACAGAATGGAGATTTCTGCAAAGACGATAAGGCAAACTGAGCAGTGTGGGGAGACTTGAGTCCTGTGTGTCAGACAAGAGTAAACTCAATTCTCAGTGCTGCTATAGGCTCTCATATTAGGGAATTACTGGCCCTGCATTCTTAGCAGTCGCCCTGGAACAATTAAATCCATGTAAAAGTCATTTTCAGGATTAAATAAAGACACAGCACGCATTTTCAAATAATGATGTACTTCCATAGAAAATATTAATGATGAGGCTGGTGCTAAGATGTCACTCGGCAGCCCACGTGTGGAAGGCTAGTCCTGTCTGAGCACTCTTGTTAAGTGGTAGAACCTATGGAGTTGAAGATAAGTGAGTGAGGGGAAGTTAGAACATTAGAAGTGTGCTCCTGAGAGGACAGTCAGACACAGACTCCTTCTCTCCTCTTCTCTCTTTTCTTCCTGGCCACACCGAGGTGACAAGTTTCCTGAGAACACACTTCCTCCATGATGTATGGCCTCTCCACAGGCCCCAAAGCAATGGAGCCAACAGACCATCATCTGATAGCCCTGAAATCACGAGCCCAAATAAAGTGTTCCCATAATAGTGGGGTTTGTCAGCTATCCCATCCCAGCTGCAGGAAGATGGCTAACACATCTGTGAAGTGCAAGTTTCTGGTTTCTTTGAGGGCTTAGTTGAGTCATGACGTTTTGCTAGAAGCTGTCTTGTGAGGTGGAATGTGGTGTTTTGTTGGGGGTTGGCTTGTGAGAGGGCATGTGATGTTTTGCAGTGAGCTCTCATGTGAGGGGTGTGACTTTGGTCAGCTGAGAACATCTGTGGATGAACGCTGAGGAGAGGAGATGTATAGAAGCCCACAGACAGTGAGAGATCGCTTTTTGGATCAACATCACTGCACTGGTCTTCGTGCTTCAACACTTGACTTTGCAGAGAGAAATGTTCCAGAGAACTTCTCAGGGCAATCCAACGGAGTCTTACAGCTTTCACTGACTTGTCCTGATTTTCTGAATCATGCTGATTTATGTTACTGTTTGGTGTTGGCCTTTGGACTGGACTGATGGTATCAGGACAACAAAGAGTGGACTCATCCCAAAGAACTACTTCTAAAAAGGTCTACAACCCCCTTTACCTCATAACCTTCTTTCTCCCCTCCCTCTAGTCGGTGGATAGGGAGGTATAAGTGTTTAAGAACCCTAAATAAAGTTGGTTGGGCGCAAAATCTAAGCCATCAGAGCTGCCTAAAACAAACAAACAAAAAAAGTGTTTTGCTCCATCAAAACATGGTGTCTAAGGTGCACTGATCCTGGTATTTTTGAGAAAGATTAATGACAAACTTCACAGCTAAGATGACAGTATGGCATGTGGGATGTCAAGGCAAAAGATGTCAGCACTGACAGGGTGCCCAGGCTCACCAGCTCTTCACCCTGTATAAACTAAGCTTGAGTTCACCCCAATCTCACCTTGAGCAAAATTTCATCTTGGCTTACTAACTTCCAGCTCTCCCTAACATTGCACAAATCAGGAACTCCCCCCTCTCCTCGAACCACAAAACTTTTGTTTTTTAGGGAGGTGGAGAGGGGATTTGTTTTCCTCAAGGAGTCAGTGTCTCACACTATAATGTAGGCTGACTTGGAACCTCCTATGTAGCACAGACAAGGCTTCTCACCCTCCTAACACTCCTACCTCAGCGTCTCGAGCAGCTGTGTTCTGTGACAGTGTTGACTGTCGACTTGACAGGATTTTTAATCATTCTGGAAGGAAATGTCTGGGCACTTCTATGAAGAGTGTCTTAGACGAGGTTCACGGTGGTGGGAAGAGCCACATTAAGTGTGGGTAGCAGCACTCTATGGGCTGAGCGCCGCCATCCTTCTGCATCTGCTTCCTCATTGTGTGTGCAATGCGACCAGCTGCCTCAGCTGCCTCTGCTCCTGCTGCCCCTCCCCCCCATACAGCACACCCTTGTCGTGTGAGGCAAAGCAAATCAATTTTGTTGGGCATTTTGTCGAATCAACAAGACACGTGACTGATACCCAAGCCAACACACCTGGCTGCCTGGGATGAACTTGTTTCACTTTTAGGTTTTGTGGTTGTTGCTTTTGTTGCTAAACACACTAAGGCAGCTTTGTAGAGTCAGCCAGGCTGCACCTCAAGCCTCAGCCAGGGAGAACACTCTTAGAGGTTAAGAGGTGAAAACAAGCCGCTTCGGAGACTGGAGCATGTGTGAGGCGGGGCTTTTCTGGCTCTGGCAGCCCGGATCTAACTGTGGAGATGGCCCTCAGGTGTGTCTATCTGCTGCCAGACAGCAGATTGCCTTCATGCTCACTTTCTTGTGTTTATCTCTCCTTTGTAGTGGGTACTAGGCTTTTGCCAGGATTTAGATTTGGCTCAGCTTAAAAAGTACACACACCCAACAGAGAAACAACTTCCCTCTTTGCTTCCTTTGCCTCATCTTTCTTCTCTTCCTCCTCGACTTCCTCTGTTTTATTTCCTGTTCCTCCTGCTTCTCCTCTTTCTCCTCATTTTGGAGACAAGTTCTTATTCTGTTCTTGGGCTAATCTAGAACTTACCATGCAGCTCAGGCTTGCCTTGAACTCACAGCAATCCTCCTGATTCAGCCGCCAAAGTGCTAGGTCCAAGGGTGTGAGCCACCATACTCAGCCTCCCAGAGGAACTTTTGATAACTAGCTACTCCATTCTCAGCAGTGGTCTCGAATTTCAGGCTCAGGTGTGTGCCAGATTCCCTGACTCTCTGGATTCCCTTCTGCACTTGTCTCCCTAGTTCTCAGGCTCTGAGCCTTTGGTCTGTGGCACAAAGGGCTTAGGATATGCTGTACCCCCCCACACACACACATGCTTTCTCCTCTCTCATCGTTCCAAAACTATGTAATGTATCTCTCTGTCTCTCTCTCCATCTTCTTTTTCTTGAAAAATGCTCAGCAAAGAGCAGTGTGGGAAAAGTTTTAACTCTTTTGCTTGTTCTGAGTGAATTCATTGAGTTTTTATGCAGTAATTTACTTTATAGGTTGCATGCATACTTTCACATGAACTTCTTATCTGATTATTGTAATTGTCATCTCTAGATGAAACAGCAGGCCGGCTGACCTTCAAACCCACATCATACCATGTCTCACTGGACCCCATCGTAAGTAAAATAGACAAAGCTCTCACCCTGTGTCAAAGTTGTACCTTTATTTTTCACACTTTAAGTGTTTGCTTTGTTTTTGAGGGCAAAACCAAAACCAAATGAAACAAAAACCCTCAGAAATGTCCTGCCACATAGTTGTCCCTTTGAAACACCATTGAGGGTGAACAGCAACACTGTTCAACTTTTTGTTTTTTTAAGGGAAAAGGGAAGGGTCACTAAAGGGACTCGGAGTGAATGGGAACTAACAGATCCTGGACTCCATCTCTTCTCAGCCTGATCCTTCAACTCTGAAGCTTGAAATGGAACCACGTAAGCGTACTCACTGCACTAGCCAAAGCCACAGATCCTGTCTTGTTTAAGACAAAGGGCTTTGATTACATTTAAATACTTGAAAATATCATCCCTTTTGCTTCTGTCTGTTTATTGCTGGACATACACATACACACACTTTCAGACACACGCACACACATTTATACACACATATACACAAAGGCACACACATCTGTACACACACATACACACATATTTATAAACACATATGCACATACAATACACACGTGCACATACACGCATTTAAACACATATTCATACACACATATACACGTATATACAAAATGTAGGAAAATACCTAGTGTTAATACTGAGGTCTGAGGAATAATGAAAATCCAGGGCAAGTAAGTGGCATAAGAAAGGTGTCTTGGGTCTTCTATGGCTGTGATAAATGCCATGACCAAGTGCAGCATAAGGAAGAAAGAGCGTTTATCTCCCTTATGCTCTCACACCACACTCTATCATCGAAAGAAGCCAGGTCGAGAACTCAAGCCAGGAAGTGAAGATCATGGGGGAACTCTACTTCCTGGTTTGCTCTGTGTGGCTTACTCAGCCTGCTTTGTAAAACTGAGGCCTACCTGCCATGAGGTGGCACCACTCCTCATGAGCTGGGACTTCCCACATCAACCATTAATCACAAAATGCTGACAGACTTCCCTCCAGGCCAGTCCCATGAGGGCATTTTCTCAACTGAGAGTCCAAGTCCCAGAGAAGTGTCGCCCCACTACTGATGGCAAGAAGACAGATAAAGTGTGGCCCCTGCTTGGGGTTATGAGGGAAACACCAGTGCTTTGGGCTGAGAGACTTGGAGTTGGAAGGTAAAAATGTCAAGAAAATGTTCTCTCCATACCTTGTCTCTGAGACTGCAGCTTCAGACAACCAACACAGCGTGGCTGCAGGAGACAAGCTCTTTGCTCTTCTAGCTCATCCTACATGAGAATGCACAAGAGGGACCAAGAAGCACAGGGCTGATGACGTCAGAGGAGGCAGGCAGGAAACCTGCAGCTGAGAGCAAAGTGTTCTTCGTCCTTGAAAGAAAGTGGAAGTTTGTACTATCGATGAGAAATGCATATGGCCCAGATCCCAGGGCAGCTTCTTAAAATCACTGTTGTGTTGATGGTAGGAAGGACTTAGGCCACTGGCTCTGACGGAATCAGAACGAGTCAGCCGTGTGTTTCATACCGAAGCTCTCATTTCAGAGCTGCGTCCTTCACCGTGCCGTGGGACTACTACATCAACTGTATTCAGTTCTTCAGGTTGTTACCCATCACACAATTTTCTCATGTTGCCACTTGAGACATATTTGTCCTGTTTTTATAAATGTTTTTATAAACTGTGTGCATGTCTGTGTACCTGTACCCATGTGGACACAGGTGCCTGTGAGGCCAGAAGAGGAAGTTGAATCCCTTGGGGCTGGGAATCAGACGCAGGTCCTCTGGAAGAGCAGTGCATGCTCCTAACCACTGAGCCACCTCACCGGACTCCTGACTGCACATCTGACAGCAGGCACTCCATTGTGGTCACATGACAACCTCTACGGTCTCTGAGGATGCTCACTCCACAGTCATAAGCCCGCCCTTCTGTCCTCTAATATCAAGTCTCTGTTCTGTTATCACGAAACAACACTTTGAAGTCTGTACGGCACCAAGAGTTTTCAGCTCACACACTCTGAAACATCTTTTGCTTCTGTCAGCTATCTAGAGGAACCGCCCTAGCACACACACCTGCTCTTCAGAAACCTACTGTCTTCTCTGACCACCATGGGTGTAGAAAGACCTGAGTTCCGCTATTCTGTTTGGTAAAGACTTTTTTTTGGATGGAGTCCTACTCCCAGCATTGGGGAAGATTTGGGGTCGTATTGACATTTGGTGCTAGATGATCTGTGTTCAGGACTGTCCTATGCTTTGGAGGATGTTGAAGCAGCACCATGTACCTGAGGCCATTAGAGAAGTCGGTAGCATAAGGTGTTTCAAGAACTGACAGTGGTCCCCTAAAGGGCACAGTCATCCTGGCTAGGAGCCACTACACTAACCCACTGACTTCTCTCAGTTCCTGTAAGTTGGTTCCAGTAGCCCGATGAGAGAAGCAGAGGGTTTGGGAATTCAGGATAACCAGCAGCAGAGGAAGCATTAGGCTGGAAAGAATACAGGTGGAGGGCTATCGCATGGCAAGGGTGACTTGTTGGAGGGGAAGACAGAAATGAAGGGCACAAAAAGGGCAGAAAGAAATAAACATTGAAGGACCGTGTATGGATATAACCTAGAACCCCTGCTCAGATGTAGCCCATGATAGCTCAGTATCCAAGTGGGTTCCCTAGTAAGGGGAACAGGGACTATTTCTGACATGAACTCAATGGCTGGCTCTTTGACCTCCCCGCCCCACCCAAGGGAGGAGCAGCCTTGCTAAGACACAGAGGAGGACATTGCAGCCAGTCCTGAAGATACCTGATAAGCTAGGGTCAGATGAAAGGGGAGGAGGAGCTCCCCTATCAGTGGACTTGGAAAGGGGCAGGGAGGAGATGAGGGAGGGATGGTGGGATTGGGAGAGAATGAGGGAGGGGGCTACGGCTAGGATACAAAGTAAATAACTTGTGATTAATATAAAAAGTAAAAATTATTTTAAAAAAAGAAATAAACATTGTGATCTTAACTACACTGCTTACATGGATACGAGGGGACCACAGTGCAGGGCCAAAAGACCAGAGTTGTGGCCTCAGGGCTACTCAGCAACTGGCCTGTCAGTTTTTTCCCTCATGTATAAAACACCTCTAGAGTTCCATACGTGATGATTGCCTCAGACATGGAGACGGTACTTGAGATCACGTCTCATAAATGCGTTCTTTGTAAAAAGGTCCATGAGTTGATATTTCTGTGCAGCTAGGCTTTGGCTGGACACAGCTGAGAACTGTAGATGGCTGGGAATAAAGAGTCTCTTCTAGCCCAGGGCAGCAGCGACCCAACTTGGTGGAAACCAGGTCATGCTTCAGAATCTGATCTCCGGGTGCCAGTGGCAAATATCGTAACTGCGAGGAGCATCCTGGAACATTCAGCTTTATCTGAGTCCACAGGAGAGTAGAATCTACTTGTTAGCATCTCTCCTGCCAAACACTTGCTGATCTCAGGTTACCCTCATGAGTCTTCCCATATAGCCCCAGAAGTGGCACATCTTATAATAAGGCCACATGTGACGTGCCTACGTATTACTTACGTTTTGTCAAATATCTCGGAAAGTATCTGTGATGGTTATTTTGGATGTCAATTTGATTCAACAAATAATGGTGCTATTCTGACTGTGTGGTGTAAGCTGAAGGAGCGGGTCCTCTTTTAATATGTAGTTATTCAGCTTGCTGCTCTAGAGACCGCGACAACAGGGTGACTTCAGGGAGGAGGGATGCATTTTTGGGTCATGGCTTGAGGGTACGGTCCATCGTGGTGAGGAGGGCACGGCGGTGGAGGGAGTCTTAAAGCTGTGGTGGCAGGAGTTTGAAGCTATTTGCTTACATCTCTGTGGACCTCAGTCAACCCTCCAGGAAACAGCCTCTTCCTCGCGCACCCCGCTTTCTAACAATTCCATAGCATTTTAAACAGCCGCCGCGTGTGGACAAGCATCAGAACATGCAAGCCTGTGGAAGCCATGAAAATATCAAATAAGTAAAAAATAAAAGTGTAGGACTCTGAGGTCTGTGTTTCCTGCCTTCTGAAGTGGAAAGAATTCTTGCCTGGCAGCTTAGGAAAACCCTTTAGGTGAATCTGAACACCAAAGAACCATAACCACTCTTCCCTCATAGCCTGTTAAGAAAGATGACAGACTTTTCCTGAAGCTTTTTCCTCCCAGTTAGGACTCAGATTGTATAGCAAATAACAGAACAAATGGAAACAGCAGTTTAACCTCAGGCAACAAAACTCTGGAAATTCCAACAAGCTGGTGTAGAGAATTGGTTCAAATTCTAAGGAGAGATTTAGTGCGTGTTTGTTCTGCCCTAGTAAAAACAATGCTGCATGCTTGCCCTCTGGGGGCCAGGCTTTCACTCGTGGCTGAAACAAAGACACGTCAGCTTTGGCTGGCCCGCTTTGTAGCGGACCCTGTAGAGCTGAAGCATGAAATGGAGGGATTGGGGAAGGACTGAGGCCTAGCTACTTAAGATGTTGGAAATCATTCATTCCCATTTTCAGGATTTACTGTTCGCCAATTCACCAATAAAGGTGTGTGAGTCCCTTAGGTTTGATGCCCAGAAATGGTATCGCTAGAGCACATGGTATTCCTGTTGGTATTTTATTTGTTTTTTAAGGAAGCTTTATGCCCGTTTTCACAGTGGTTGATATTTTTTACATTCCTGCCAGCGGTGTGTAAGCGTTCTTTCCCACCTGCCTCTTTGCCAGCATTTGCTTGTCTTCACGATGATAGCCATCCTTGCAGGGGTGAGGCAGTGAGAGAGAATCTCACTGAGGTTTTATTTGCATTATGCTTCCGGCTAAGGGTGTCGACTACTTTTCCATTTACTTATCGGACATTTTTAACTCAATTTGAAAAGCATCCCGTCCACTTGTCAAGTATTGATTTGCTCTTTCAGCGTTCAGGCTCTTTACATATTTTGTGTATTAAGCCCCCGTTAGCTGATCCCGGGCAAAGCCTTTCTCCTATCATGTAGTCCATCTCCTCACGCTGTCGACGGCTCCATCTGCTGTGCAGAAGCCTTTTAAAGTCAATTCAATGCAAGTTGTCAGTTCTTGCCGTTACCCTCTGAGGTGATCCAGCCCCATCCCAGAGCTGTTACCACGGCTCAGAGTTGAATGCGTCCCTTACATGCTTCTCTCTGGTTACATGTGGGTATGTATCCATGTGTGTGTTTTGTGTGCATTCTCATGTGCGTGTACTCCCGTATGCATACACGGGGTGTCTTCATGTACCGCTCTCCATCTTCTGTTATTGGCAGGGTCTGCCGCTGCCCTAGCCGGGCTGGCTGGCTAGTGAGCTCCACCATCTGCCTGGCCCCATGCTTCCAGTGTACACCCCTGTACCTAGCTGGGTGGCTGTTGTTTGTGGGAGGAGAAGAGTGCACATCCTCACTCT